AAAAGAAAAAACCGGAGGCATCACAATTCCAGATTTCAAGCAACATTACAAAGATGTAGTCATCAAGACAGTATGTTACTGGCACAAAAACAGACACATAGATCAATGGAACAGAAGAGAAAACCTAGAAATGGACCCACAACTATATAATCAACTAATATTAGACAAAACAGGAAAGAATATCCAATGATAAAAGACAGTCTCTTTGACAAATGGTGTTGGGAAAACTGGACGGCAATGTGCAGAAGAGTGAACCTGGACCACTTCCTTACACCATACACAAAAATTAAATTCAAAATGGATGAAAGATCAAACTCAACACCCAAAAAACAAACAATCCAGTGAAGAAATAGGCAAAAGACATGAATAGATACTTCTCCAAAGAAGACATCCAGATGGCCAACCAACACAAAAAATGCTCAACATCACTCATCATCAGGGAAATACAAATCAAAAACACACTGAGATACTGCCTCACACCTGTCAGAATGGCTAATGTTAACAACTCGGGCAACAACAGATGTTGGCAAGGATGCGGAGAAAGAGGATCTCTTTGGCACTGCTGGTGAATGCAAACTGGTGCAGCCAACTCTGGAAAATAGTATGGAGGTTCCTCAAAAAATTAAAAATAGAACTATCCTATGACCCAGCAATTGCACTACTAGGATTTATCCACGGGATACAGGTGTGCTGTTTCGAAGGGACACATGCACCCCCATGTTTATAGCAGCACTATCGACAATAGCCAAAGTATGGAAAGAGCCCAAATGTCCATCAATGGATGAATGGATAAAGAAGATGTGGTATATATATACAATAGAGTATTACTCGGCAATCAAAAAGAATGAAATCTTGCCATTTCCAACTACGTGGATGGAACTAGGGGGTTTTATGCTAAGCGAAATTAGTCAGAGAAAGACAAATATCATGTGACTTCTCTCATATGAAGACTTTAAGATCCAAAACAGATGAACATAAGGGAAGGGAAGCAAAAATAATATAAAAACAGGGAGGGGGACAAAACATAAAAGACTCTTAAATATAGAGAACAAACAGAGGGTTGCTGGAGGGATTGTGGGAGAGGGAATGGTCTAAATGGGTAAGGGGCATTAAGGAATCTACTCCTGAAATCATTGTTGCACTGTATGCTAACTAACTTGGATGTAAATTTAAAAAACATATTAAATAAAAATAGCAAAAAAAAAATGATGAAAGACCTAAATCTGAGACCAGAAACCATCAAAATCCTAGAGGAGAACACAGGCAGCAACCTCTTTGACGTTGGCTGGAGTAACTTCTTGCTAGACACATCACCAAAGGCAAGGGGAAAAAAAGCAGACATGAACTACTGGGACCTCATCAAGATCAAAAAGCTTCTGCACAGTGAAGGAAACAATGAACAAAACTAAAAGGCAGCCTACAGAATGGGAGGAGATATTTGCAAATGACATATTGGAAAAAGGGTTAGTATTCAAAATAAAGAACTTATTGAACTCAACACCCAAAAAACAAATAACCCAGTTAATAAATGGGCAGAAGACATGGATAGACGGTTTCCCAAAAAAGACATCTAGATGGCTAACAGACACATGAAAAGATGTTCAGTATCACTCATCAGTGAAATACAAATCAAAACCATGATGGGACACCACCTCATGCCTGTCAGAATGGCTAAAATTAATAACACAAGAAATAACAGGTGTTGGTGAGGATGTGGAGAAAGGGGAACCCTCTTGCCCTACTGGTGCAGCCACTCTGGAGAACAGTGTGGAGGCTCCTCAAGAAACTAAAAATAGAACTATTCTAGGGGCGCCTGGGTGGCTCATTTGGTTAAGCATCTACTTCGACTCAGGTCATGATTTCATGGTTCGTGCGTTCGAGCCCTGCATCGGGCTCTGTGCGGACAACTCGGAGCCTGGAGCCTGTTTGGAATTCTGTCTCTGTCTTTCTCTCTCTCTCTCTCTCTCTGCCCCTCCCCTGCTCATGCTCTCTCTCTCTCTCTCTCTCTCTCACACACACACACACACACACACACACACACACAAGATGGAATATTACTCAGCCATTAAAAGTAATTAAATTTTACCATTTGCAATGACATGGATGGAGCTAGAATGTATTATGCTAAGCAAAATAAGTCAATGAGAGAAAGACAAATACCATATGATTTCACTCATGTGGAATTTAAGAAACAAAACAGATGGACATATGGGGAAGGGGGGAAGAGAAGAGAGGGAAATAAATCACAAGGGACTCTTAATGATAGAGAACAAACTGTGGGTTGACGGAGGGAGGTGGGTTGGAGATGGGCTAGATGGTGATAGGTACTCAGGAGGGCACTTTTTGGGATGAGCACTGGGTGTTGTACGTGAGTGATGAATTACTGAAATCGATACTGCACTGGATGTTAACTAAAATTTAAATTAAAAACAATATGAAAAATAAAAACTCTAAACACTTTACAAGTATCAAGTTATGTGATGCTCATAACAACTCCGTGAGGTAGGTACTGTTATTCTCACTTTCCAGATGAGGAAACTGAGACACAAATGCATTGAGTAGAAGAACAAACACATGAGCCCTATGAAGGTTAGGCAACATTGCTATAGCTTCCTTCAATTTGATTTTCAAGAAAGGTTTTTGATAAAATTTTTACTCTTGTACCTCTTTTATCACTTTGATTACTTTGATTTTCTATTCTGCACTCATGGCCAGATTTCTTTTCCAATAAAGAGACATTTCGGGGCGCCTGGGTGGTTCAGTTGGTTGAGTGTTCGACTTCGGATCAGGTTGTGATCTTGTGGTTCGTGGGTTCAAGCCCCGCGTCGAGCTCTGTGCTGACAGCTCGGAGCCTGGAGCCTGCTTCAGATTCTGTGTCTCCGTCTCTCTCTGCCCCTTCCCTGTTCAGTGTCTCTTTCTCTCACGCTCTCGCTCTCTCTCAAAAATAAACATTAAAAAATTTTTTTGAAACATTTCAAACATGTAAGAATATACCAAAAATAATAAACAGTGCTGTCTGAAGTCTAATTATTGAACAGATATTCATGATTTTCCAAATTTCGTTAGGTTCTCACTTGAAAAAAAAGAATAGGACATTATAGCCAGTAGCGGTTGGCTTTCTTTGGCTGTATAACAAAGCACCCCCAAACAGTAGCTTAAATGAGCAACTATGTAGTTCTCAGCTTCAGATGAAGACGAGATCCAGAGAGGAAGGGTCTGATCATAAACATGGGGCAGATATGATAAAAGAACCTAATTCTTCAGAGTTCTGATTTAAGGGTTTTCCTAAGGAAAACGAATTCCATCGATATTTTTTCTCGACATTCTGAGGGGCTATTTCCGGCTATTTCTAACGAACTCTAGAGGTGAGGGGGTCATTACGTCTCATGTTATGTCAGAAGTTTCATTTTCTTAAAAATTTTTTAAATATTTATTTTTGAGAGACAGAGTGTGAGCAGGGGAGGGACAGAGAGAGAGGGAGACACAGAATCCCAAGTAGGCTCCAGGCTCTGAGCTGTCAGCACAGAGCCCAACGCAGAGCTCGAACCCACGAGCCACGAGATCATGACCTGAGCCGAAGTTGGATGCCCAACCGACTGAGCCACCCAGGCGCCCCAAAAGTTTCATTTTCTTAAACAGAATCCCTTCTGACTACTCAAGTGATATGCGTCACCCTAAGTATTGCTCTCATAAGCCAGTCTGAGTATTTGTTTCAGTGAAAGCCTTATTTCCTAAATGATTAGATGGATTTTATTAAAAATTGTCTATAAAGCTGAGATGTATGATCTTGATCAGTCAGAACAGTGATTCTCATTTTAATGTGACCAAAATCACCTGAAGACCAGGTTAAAATGCAAATCACTGGGCCCAGCCCCACAGTTCCTGATTCATTAGGGCTGGATGGGCCCAAGGCTTTTGCATTTTGAAGTTCCCGAGTGATAGGATGTTTTAGTTGGCGAACCATGCAAGGATCACTGAATTAGAGTAAACTAGGAAGTCATGGCTAATGTACTGTGCGATACGTAAGCGGCGTGCACATGATTTATACTATAAGCACATTCTTTGTGTTATTATTTATAATACTAAAAATTGGAAAGTACCAAAATAGCCAAACAATACAAAACTTTTAAAATAACTTCACGTAACTTTTTAAAAATGTTTATTTTTGAGAGAGAGAGAGAGAGAGAGAGCAAGGGAGGGGCAGAGAAAGAGAGAATCCCAAGCAGGCTCCACACTGATATTGCAGAGCCCGATGTGGGGCTTGAACCCATGAACTGTGAGATCATGACCTGACATCCAGAGTCGGATGCTTAACCGACTGAGCCACCCAGGCGCCCCATAACTTCACATAGCTTTAAATGAAAAAACCACAAGTTATCTCAATGTTGTGTATACATGTGTGTAAGAACAGGGGACCTGGGTTAAATAGTGACCCACCAAGCGTTAGGACAAGAAGTGATCTTTATTTTCTTCTCTGTGCTTTTCTACATTTGCTGATTTTTCAATGGTCATAGTTTACTTTTGTGTAGTCAAGACTTTGTTAAAAATAAGCATTACAAAGTGTGTTAAGTACAGAACACATGAATCCTCGAATTTAGCCATCTCTCATTACCTGTTGACATCCAGCAATACTTAATTATTCTCAGAGTATTCTTGAGGATACCTTAGGACAAAATAGCCCGCCACTCTTCCTACGTAAGCAGCCTCGGAACTGGTCACGTATGAGGGAGACAGAATCACTTAGCATTCGGAGTGTTGGCTCTGAGGCCAGACCTCCTGACCTTAAACTCTGCTCGGTGTCGCTGGGCAAGCTTCTTCGCCAATATACGTATTCGTTTCTTTACCCATAAAATGGGGATAGTCACCGGACCTATATCATAGGGCTGTTAGGATTAAACAAACAACTTAAGAAATGTTAGCTGTTGCTTTGGTTGTGAAAAAAAATTCAGCAGTTGCTTCGTACCAGCACACATACGTCAATGTTGTCTGTTTTCGTCTAGATCTGGATGTGTGGAGGCCAACTCTTTGTATTCCCCTGCTCGCGGGTAGGACACATCAGTAAACAGCGCTTTCCAAATCAACCTGAGTTTGCAGAAGCCATGACATATAACAGTCTCAGACTGGCGCACGTTTGGCTGGATGAATACAAGGTGAGGGAAATGTCTCTGATTTGGAAAGACGAGCAAGAATACGGAACGGGGCTTGGCACCCAGGAACCCATTCCTGCCTTTCCAGATAACAAGTTTCCTTAAATTTCTGGCACACCTTCAACCCCTCATCCACCTTCCCCAGACCCTATTCTCAATTAGTTCATTCGAACCCACTACACTTGAACGTTCCTTTTTATCTCAATTGCTGGGGAAACTCAAGTTTCTCAGAAGTAAATTCATCAACCCAGGAAGTTTGGTTTGTTTGTTTGGCCCAGATCTATGTCCCTCCCGCCCCCCACCCTGTGGGATCCCCCCTCTGAAGCAAACATCTCCCGCTGTTCCCATCCCCATAGGCAATTCTTTAGATTCTCTTCCTCTGGTACCAAGTTCCCAAGGGTGCGGCTACTGTGGTCTGGACACCACGCGAGAGGCTTCACTACCTCTCTTCTACCGACAGTCGATTTCTCTGTCAAAGCCAGACCCCTTCATCTGCACGTCTCCCCAAGGCTGCAGCCCCTGGCCAGGACCTAAAAGGGTGCACACACAGAGAACATGTAGCCATGGCCCCATCTGAACTTGAAAGGTGTCCCTCCAGGATCCACGCACAAACATAGACAGCAGTAGCCCCAAGACCTCCTTTCAGATATATGGAGAGAAAAATGGGAGAACTTGCTGTGATATTATAGGTCCTGGTTCCAATCTAATATTTCTTTATTGTTTTATTTATTTATTTATTTATTTATTTATTTTATTTTTTATTTTATTTTATTTTTTTATTTTTGGGACAGAGAGAGACAGAGCATGAACGGGGGAGGGGCAGAGAGAGAGGGAGACACAGAATCGGAAACAGGCTCCAGGCTCTGAGCCATCAGCCCAGAGTCCGACGCGGGGCTCGAACTCACGGACCGCGAGATCGTGACCTGGCTGAAGTCGGACGCTCAACCGACTGCGCCACCCAGGCGCCCCTCTTTATTGTTTTAAATTATAAAAGGAATAATAGTCTTTTTTGAAAACGTCAATATTTCTACATGGCCGTTTCGATTGGCAAAAATGTCAAACGTCTGGTAGGACCAAGTATTGGCAAACACAGGAATTCTCAGACACGGCTGGTGGGCGTATTATTACAAACTCACTTTGGAAAATAGTTTGGCAAAGTCAAGTAAAGATCGTGAGTATCCCATGATCCAGCAATTCCATTCTGTGTGCACACCACAGAAAGGCATGCCTTTGGGCAACCAGAAGACATGAACAAGAATGTTTAGAAACAGCATGGTGGATGTGAGCCCAAACAAAACACAGCCCAGCTGCTCATCAAGAGCAGAATGGATAAATGGGTTATATTTAGCTGATATAATTCTATACAGCCATGAAAATTACCCAACTGGAGATACACACACAACGGTACAGTAAATCTTAAATCTTGCTGGGGGTACCTGAGTGGCTCAGTCGGTAAAGCATCCAACTCTTGACCTTGACTCAGATCTCGATCTCATAGTCGTGAGTTCGAGCCCTGCACTGGACTGGGCGTGAGGCCTACAGGGGCGCCTGGGTGGCTCAGTCGGTTGAGCGTCCGACTTCGGCTCAGGTCATGATCTCGCGGTCTGTGAGTTCGAGCCCCGTGTCGGGCTCTGTGCTGACGGCTCGGAGCCTGGAGCCTGCTTCGGATCCTGTGTCTCCCTCTCTCTCTGCCCCTCCCCGCTATTCTCTGTCTCTCTCTGTGTCAAAAATAAATACAACATTAAAAAAAAATTTTTTTAAAATAAGTAAATAAAAACAGACATCATGGTGAACAAAAGCAGCCCAACGCAATGTACTGATTTATTCCATGTCTATATGTTAAAAGTGAGTAAAATTAAGGCATACAATTTATGTATTCATAATTAGATAGCAAAGCTAAAAGGAAAAGCAAAGACGTGAATACATAATCATGATAACATTTAAAGGTTTTTCATGTTTAAAAAAATTTTTTCTTAATGTTTACTTATTTTTGAGAGAGAGAAAGAGAGACACAGTGCAAGCAGGGGAGGGGCAGAGAGAGAGGGAGACACAGAACAGAGTTCTGCTTTCAAGGAGGCTTTGGTCTCTTTAGGAGAGCTCTTTGAATATAGGGCAGACTGAATCCATTAGACTTTTGTACTCAGTACTATCTTAAATCCAGAGCGCGTAGAAGACTAACCAGGTGATAACAATGGCCAATGCTGATGTGACACCCTGTGTCAGCCTGCGTTTACCCAGTGCTCCGTACGTATTACACTGTTCGGTCCTCAGGACAACCTCGTGAGGGTAAGGGCAAAGGTCACATAATAAATGACAGAGCAAGAATTCGAACCCGGGCTGTCTCCCCCCACAGTCCACTTGCCCTAAGCCACTACACCATCTCTCATTTCTGAAACCACGGAAGTGTTGATTGGGACCAGGGAGGGAGGGTTTTCCTTGAGTATTGAGAGAGCAGGAGAAAGGAGACATACAACATAGGTGGCTGTGATTCTTGGGCTCCTAAGAAGCAGGACCCAACCTTCCTGGATCCCACTACACCACCTCCGTGTTGTGGTTCATCACAACACATCCTGCAAATATGTGCAGAGTGAGTGAATTCCAGGCACCACGTGGGTCTCTGCCCACACCATATGGATGAAATTGGAAGATATTTTGTTCTGTTTTTGGGTTTTTTTTTTTTTTTTTTTTTTTTTTTTTTAGTTCAGGTGATGAAAATATACACTGCTATGTTAGATACGATTTGATTACCAAAGATTTGTTTGGTTTTAATGAAATTACTCTCTATTTCCATTTAGGAGCAGTTTTTTTTACGAAGACCTGGCCTGAAATCTGTTGCCTATGGAAACATTAGCGAGCGTGTCGAGTTAAGGAAACGATTGGGTTGCAAATCATTTCAGTGGTATTTGGATAATGTCTTCCCAGAACTGGAGGCATCTGAGGGCAGCAGATGAAACACAAATAAATCATTTTCATTAAAAAAGGGTTGGGGCGCCTGGGTGGCTCAGTCGGTTAAGCGTCCGACTTCAGCTCAGGTCACGATCTTGCGGTCCATGAGTTCGAGCCCCACGTTGGGCTCTGGGCTGATGGCTCAGAGCCTGGAGCGTGCTTCCGATTCTGTGTCTCCCTCTCTCTCTGACCCTCCCCCATTCATGCTCTGTCTCTCTCTGTCTCAAAAATAAATAAACGTTAAAAAAAAAAATTAAAAAAAAATAAAAATAAAAAAGGGTTAAAAAACCCCTATGTCTTCAACATAGAGGAGAAAAGTCCAGAACATCAAGAAATTGTGTGAAATGCAGTAAGAAATACAACCAGAGTGCTCTAGAATAAGAGTGCCTTTCTGTCTTGCTTTGATGATAGTTCTTAACCCTTCGTTACACGTCACTGAATTTCTGGGGTGGCAAAACCGTGAACATTAGAAAGATACGCTGTCACACAGTGCAAACTATCACACCATGGATTGAGGTGAAGTGTATTGTCTCTAGAATTTGCCCAACTCGCTTGGTCCTGTTAGACCACAGGGGATGCTCCACTCTGGGAGGCTTTGTCCATTCCTACTCTAGAACTCAGAAAGACGTTCACAGAGAGCCTCGGTTGACACGTGCCAACGTTGGCTCAACTGTGTCTAGATCCTTTTCTTGCTGCTAGTGTCGATTTTGGTGCCGATTTCTTGCTTGCTTGGGTTCCTGAGTTCCAGATGTCCCGTCCACTTGCCTTGGTGGCCCAGTCCAGCCCTGTAGACCAGCCTTGTTGTCTGTGGCTGTCAGTCCCTTTGTCACTTGGAGACAGTCCCCCTGCCTTGCTTCTGGTTTTGCCTTGTTCATATTTCTCCCCTCCTATGGCTCTGGCCTATAGCTGTCCTAACACTTCTTGCATTCTGCACTTTGTTGATGATTGATTTTCTGACTCAGACCTGTTTAGCTGGGATTGGGGGAAGGAGTGGCTAGGCTCCCTATATACCCTGTGTGAACACACTCCCGAAGGTCTAAAGTACTTCTCTTGGGTTAGAGGGATGGCTGTTGTGTTCACCCTGGTGAAGGTGGCTAGAGAGGGGAAACGTATTTGATTCACAAAGACAAGGAGAAAATGAGGGGAAGAACACACTGAAAGGAATAAAAGGACTGGGGGAGACTTAGGGTGGGATCACTAAACCTAGCCTACGTTGAAGAGAAGCTAGTTTTTACAGCAGGAAACAACTTATCTATTGTGCTCAATTAATAATTGAGTGGTTGGTTATCTAGGGCTAGGTATCCTTCTAAATGAGGGAGCAGGAAAACATCTCTCCCTTCATGGAACTTGTATTCTTTGGGATAATCTATATAATGTGAAGACGAAAGAACCAGCGTACAATCTCTTTATACATAGGTATTTTAGCAAGATACTCTATAAAATCTATTGATAGACATCGGGAGACCTGGGCTCAGATATTACAGATGACCAGGGTAACTTTATTGAGACTTTAAAAAGTCAATCTGGGGGCACCTGGGTGGCGCAGTCGGTTAAGCGTCCGGCTTCAGCCAGGTCACGATCTCGCGGTCCGTGAGTTCGAGCCCCGCGTCGGGCTCTGGGCTGACGGCTCAGAGCCTGGAGCCTGTTTCCGATTCTGTGTCTCCCTCTCTCTCTGCCCCTCCCCCGTTCATGCTCTGTCTCTCTCTGTCCCAAAAATAAATAAACGTTGAAAAAAAAAAAAAAGTCAATCTGGCAATACAAAATAAGCACCACATTATGATTTTGTTCTTGGCCCATTTTTATACCATCTCTGCCTCTAGAAAGCAATAGAAATGATTATAATAAACCCATGAGTCTATTAAAATTAGTGTAAAGTACAAAACAGAAATCTTTAGCAGGAGAAAAGAATTCTAGTATAAATACTAGAGAGTAAATATAAGAGTATCATCTTGAAATAACTTTTTCTAGTTTTGAAATTTGAGAATAATTGTTTTCTTTGGTAAGCATAACAGAGGATGCTATAAATTCCATCTTTGCCAAAAAAAAAAAATGTTCTTAGAGCCATAAAACTAATATTGTCTTAGTTTTCTAATTTAAATGTTGGTTCAGGTACTACATAATGTGGACTGGTCTTAGAAATGATGTAGTGTGTTGCTTAAACAAGTTCTTTTGAGTACTGTTTCAGTTGACTCTGGAATAGAAACCAGAACCAACATCCAAGGGCCCGTGGGTGGCTCAGTTGGTTAAGTATCTGACTCTTGGATTTAGGCTCAAGTCGTGATCTCACGGTTGTGAGATCGAGCCCCAGATTGGGCTCCACCATGGGCATGGACCCTGCTCACATTTCTCACTGTCCCTCTTCCTTTGCCCCTTCTCCACTTGCGTGCGCGCGCTCTCTCTCTCTCTCTCTCTCTCAAAACAACAAAACCAAAAAACAACCCAACATCGAAATATTTGGTGTGATTGAAAGGAAATCTACATTAGCCTGTAGGTGGCAACTTTTTATTTCAGGTGGAAACTTAAAAATGTGATTTATGTTCTGGAGCTAATTGAGGAATATTTGCTAACCCTCTCAAAGCTTTTCTCAAAACACAGTTTTTGGTATGATCAAATGCTCAGACAAGCCCTGAAGTAAGCCTGGGAGTTCTGTAGCTAAAGCATACATCTAGGAGTTTACCCTAACATACACCTGCGTGAAAATTGAGCTCCCATTATGTTCCATACTCTGTGGTAAGTACCCTTCCTTGATTATCTCATTTCACTCACACAGCTTTGTAAAATAGGCCCTATTGTCATTCCCATTTCATAGACGAGAAAACCAAAGTTAGATTTGTCCAGGGCTGGGTTGCCAGTGTTAGCAAATAAAAATGCAGGATGCTCTGTATTTGAAATTTGAATTACGGATATGCAACATTTTGCTGTATTTCACATATTCCACGGAACATACTTCTACTAAAGCATTGTTGTTTCTCCGAAATCACATTTCAGGTCATCGTGGATTTCATCTGGTAACTTCATCTAGGGGCAAACTAACACAGCCCATACACTAGCAGGATCCGCCCAGTCTCTGAGACTCTGGGTTGAACCACATTACACTGCAAAGAGCATTTTAGTGTCATTCTTCACAACGGTAAAACTGGAGCTCTCCCCAAACCTCAAATGCTAGAAGTATACCATTATACATCAATTTGCTAGACTAGGATATACACCCACTCAAACCCTTTAAAATATTTTTTTTTTCAACGTTTATTTATTTTGGGGACAGAGAGAGACAGAGCATGAACGGGGGAGGGGCAGAACAAACCCTTTAAAATAACAGCTAGGAAAAAAAAATCCGTTCAAGACCCATCAGAATGGCACACATTTAAACATCTGACGCTAT